TTCCCTAAATAGTTTCAAGTTAGAAGAACATTTTACAACATATGTCTGTACATTGAAACAGATCACTCTTACTGTTCATGCTGGCCATTAAAATATCTTTTCCAAATTCAAATTAAATGCAAATGGTGGGGGACAAAATCCACATCCCTTGTTCTGTACAAGAATATATTCAAAGTTTATTTGAAGTTATTATGGGGCTTCAGCAGACTGAGTTCAACATCAGTTCATGTTGTAAAATTGAGTGGATGTGATGTTAAATCAATAAATATCTTCCATAGTAAAAAGTATTTATTAGGCAAATCCTGTTTACTTTGTTATATTGGTAGTCTTTTACTGTTGATGTAGAGATTTTTATCTTAAATAGACTTCTGATTCACAAAATGTACAAACGGACAGTATACCACAAAACTATATTATAAAACAAGTTTGGAAAAAACTTTCCAGAAACTTTCCAGACTGTACGTAAAATGGCAAGTAACTTATAAGTTTATACCACAAAACCTGAACTTGTGATTTTACAGTTGGAAATTTGATAACAGTTGCAAGTTGAAACTGACAAACACAAGCTTTTAGTGCACAGATACAATCAGTATATTTCTGTCTGATAACTGGGTGGTATACACTAGCAGTGCTCATGAATACAGATTACATATCCTCCTCCAGACAAACACACACACACACACACACACACACACACACACACAGTAGATATAGCCACAGCGGCATGTCTATCAGCAGGCACCACAGTGACATCGTCCCCTTGAGACCGTCTCCCTCACTGCTCTACTCTAAATGAATGATGATGACCCCGGACCGAGCCAATCATCTGCAGTGATACTCGGAGAGACACAAGTCGCACTCATTCATATTCCGCAAGCAATTCCATTTTTCCCTCCAAAACACTGTCAAACCCACACTCCACTGAGCAGTCGAGATTAACTCAAACTACCGGAGCGATCCCCCTCCCTGCCTCACATACAAACAGATTTGGTTTCCCTGTCATACAGATGAATGCTCTTGATAGAGGATATCATCTGAATTAGTTTGACATTGCTGTCTTGGAGCTCCAGGATTGTTTTTTTTTTCTGTTGCAATTATTTTACTCCTTCTGTTTTTTTTTTATCATCCTCTGTGCCTGGCATTTTAATTTGAGTCAAATCTGTTGTCGACAAGGCAGAGTGTGTATTATTGTGTGTATTTCCTCACCTTGTGGTTCCACACTGGACACTTGAAGGCCTGTGTCATTAAGGAGGTCCAAGGCCAAGGTCACATTGTGAAGCTAGATGTCGAAGAAACACAAATGTCAAACACAAAATCCATGCAAACAAATTTAAATATAAATAATTATATATTCTTTATTTACAGTATATTTTTACTTTTAGTAATATCTTCATATGTGTGGTGATATATTATGCTTGCTGTGGTTATTGGTAGGTGCTATTAAGTTTAATTAACAATTAATTATACTTATTATTATATTTTTATTATACTAACATTAAATATAAACTGTAATTTAGTTAAATAATGAGTTAATTTTAGCTTGTTTTAGAAGTGTCAGGATTTCAAACTAAGACAGTAGACATGGCAGTAGTATGAGCAACCTGTGATCTGTTTCAATAAAAAAGTTAAAAGTTAACCAAAAAACAGAGATATGGCAATACGGAGAGGTGATGAAAGACAGCAAATACATTTTGAATGTGTTACCATTTTTTGTGTTTTAAGTGTTATTTTTCACTAAGCCTTGAGAAATGATTGTTTTTGGTTCCATTTTATTTTCTGTTTTGCCAAGGGGAGATTGATACCACTGTCATAAAAGTCAATCTTCTCACCTACTCTTCAGCAGAAAATGTGTAAAAAACACATATTTGCCAAACTGTTGATTTCTTGTCCTTTAATGGAGAAAATGAGCTGCTTATCATCCATTTCCCTCGTTAATTTGTCAATATATCACTACCAAAAAGAAATCATGTGACTGACAGATTGTGAATATCTACCAGGTATATTATGTAAAATATGAGACATTTTTTCCACTGAATATACTAAAATGTAAACAAATAGCAGTACTAATCACAAGGACAAAGTTTTGGATGCAGAATAGAGTGACAGAAAAGTGTTTTACAGCTGATGATTTCTATATATCTATTTTGTATATTTGTTGAGTTTCGATGATTTTATAATAATTAAATATCATATTTAGGTCATATTGTGGAATTATAAATCATCACACAGACATTATAAACATATTATAAAACTTTGTGAGACATAATCTAATTTTATTTTAATATATAATGTGTTTATCACCAGAAACTTTTTTGTTTTTACTATATCAAAAAAGTCTAATATGTAGTGTCACAGTGTCTTTATATAGCAAGTGACATATCTATCTAAGTCATATCTGTGATAAAAGAGTCATAACTTTTTCATAGACTCATTGCTTCAAGTAAAGTCAGATCAAAGATATCATTATAAGTGAGCAATGACATAGTAGTAATTATGCATCTACTTTTATTATGGGAATTGTAAAATATTAATTTTATCATATAATATGTTATAATAGACACAGTTTGGGATCAGGTTTCTGTACTGGAGCCCATTATCTACT